TTAATGCCCTGCATGTTAGCCTGTGTGTCCATGCACACATAGGCATTTAGAGTCTGAAAAAAAAAAACACCCACTGCCTGTGCGTCTAGGAGCAGCAGCGTTTTTGGCAGAAAGTGTGTGTGTGTTTTAATTCATTTTAATGGCCAAATAAATTACCGTATTTTTTGCTCCATAAGAGGCACCTGACCATAAGACGCACCTAGGTTTTAGAGGTGGGAAACTAGAAAAAAAATAATCTGAACCAATGAACTGCAGACATAGTACAGGAAATGACCAGAAACTGCGGACACAGTACAGGAGATGACCAGGAGACTGCGGACATAGTACAGGAGACTGACCAGAGACTGCAGACATAGTACAGGAGATGACCGGAGACTGCGGACACAGTACAGGGGATGACCGGAGACTGCGGACATAGTACAGGAGATGACCGGAGACTTCGGACACAGTACAGGGGATGACCGGAGACTGCGGACACAGTACAGGGGATGACCGGAGACTGCGGACACAGTACAGGGGATGACCGGAGACTGCGGACACAGTACAGGGGATGACCGGAGACTGCGGACACAGTACAGGGGATGACCGGAGACTGCGGACACAGTACAGGGGATGACCGGAGACTGCGGACACAGTACAGGGGATGACCGGAGACTGCGGACACAGTACAGGGGATGACCGGAGACTGCGGACACAGTACAGGGGATGACCGGAGTGCGGACACAGTACAGGGGATGACCGGAGACTGCGGACACAGTACAGGGGATGACCGGAGACTGCGGACACAGTACAGGGGATGACCGGAGACTGCGGACACAGTACAGGGGATGACCGGAGACTGCGGACATAATACATCATATAAAGTCCCAACAGGTCCCTCCACCCAGAGTATCAAATGATCTGACACCATACATCAAGGAAAAGGACTACAATTCCCAGCATCTGTCATTTTTAACTTGCAGAAGGCAGGCTATAGAAGGCAGGGGGCGCACTGAGCTCCGAGGGCAGGCCACACCAGCAGATAGGACCGGACTGCAGAGCAGGGAATGCACTATGGACACATGCCAGGAGCGGGGAGGAGCTGTAAGGACATGGCCACACCTGCAGACCAGACTGCAGAGGGGGAGCGCACTATGGAAACATGCCAGGAGCAGGGAGGAGCTGTAAGGACAGGCCACACCTGCAGACTGGACCGGACTGCAGAGCAGGGAGCGCAGTGCATAGACATGCCAGGAGCGGGGAGGAGCTCAGAGGACAGGCCACGCCTGCAGGACGGACCGGACTGCAGCGCAAGCTGGCTGGGTTCGGCGAGGGGACTGCCTGCTATGAAGAGCTGCGGGGACAGCCCGCTGAAAGAGGGGATAAGGTAGGGTGAACTCCGGTGACAGCCTGCAGTGGGATGGGACAGCCGCTGGCCCTAAAACGGCGGTGGTGACAGGTGGAGGACTGGTCAGTATTTGCTCCATAAGACGCACAGACATTTTCCCCCATATTTTTTTGGGAAAAAAGTGCGTCTTATGGAGCGAAAAATACGGTATTCTGGCCAATGAAATTGGACACCCTAGCGCTTGACATGCCTAAATGGGTTTACAAGCATCAAAAATGTTTCTGCCAAAATGCTGCTGCCCGGAGGAAAGGGGACTGAGAGATGGCCAAATGTCCTGTGTACATGAGGCCTTAAGCCTGGGTTCACACTGATGTGGTCAAGAATTTGCAGCGTTTTCTGTGCGAATTCTGCACCGCATCACAATCGCACCTCGTTCATGCAAACCGCTGCTGGTGTGTATATAAAGTTAACACCCCAAAATCGGTCCACAAAATGCGGTGCGATGTGTAGAATCGGATCGCATAGGTGTGAATACCCATGAGATCCGATTCTAGTGCGGACCAAAAAAAGGGTCCTGCACCTTTTTGGTTTGGTGCGATTAGAGCCATACAAAATGTATGGCTCCAATTGCACCGCTCACAAATCGCATGTGATTTGCACAGGAATGCGGTGCGGTTCCTGTGTGAATCACATGTGATGTACTGCACCGCATATATGTGAACCCGGGCTTAAAGCGGAGTTTCACTCAACCTATCAAAGTCAGCAGCTACTAAATAATTGTAGCTGCTGACTTTAAAAAAAAAAAAAAAAAAACAGCCACTTACCTGTCCCATGGTGTGTCCCCCGCAGCCAGTTTCACCTGCCGTCCTGTATTCCAGGAGGCCGGCATCTTCAGTGTGGGCAACCGGCTGTGACAGTTTGCGGCTTCACAGCCGTGTACCCACTGCGCATGGGCGAGTAGCACTGCACTTCGTGAATGGTCCTGTAGTCTTCTGGGACCTATCACATTCCCCAAAAGACTACAGGGAGGGAGGACACCTTCTGATCACCTAGGCCAAATTCGGGTACCCGCTCCCCAAAGGTGCCAACCCTTAATGGGGAGCAGTCTTTGAATTGAGCCTCTCTGTCAGCAAGTATCTGCTTGCTCTGCTCTGCTTGCTCGTAGGGGATGTATGAGCAAGCAGATATACTGACGGGTCAGAAGACCTGCATGGCACCAGCAATCTGCTGATTAATGGCTTCTTTTTTTTTTTTTTTTCTTTTTTGTAAGTCTGTGGGGTGAAAACATGTCTCACTAATGAAACGACAGCCCCTTTTTCCAAATCACATGGACGCGTGTGGCCAAAATGCGACATCTTACGACTTTGGGGATAAAGAAAAATTGATCTTCTCTTCCCAATTTCTATTTCTATCTGGTACAGAGGATTCATTAAAATCTTGTATAGCAGGGGTGATTTAAAAAAAAAATGCCAGAGGTTTTAACCTTGCCCTATTCTATCCAAACTAAGGAACTTCTACTTCAATAAACAATCTTTACTAGCAGGACAAGAGATGCTAGCAGGCTCTGGCTTCTCAAAATACAGCTTTGTGTCAGCGGAGCCTGCCAGTGCCTAATGTATAGACATTGCTAGGCTACATCCAACAATCTAATGCTGTGTGCCAGAGAGGCTTGGGCTTTGTCATTTGGGACATGGGGATGTTTGTGCGTGCTTTCGGCTTTCACAAGCTTGGTAATGGCCCAGAATGTGTAGACACTGAACATATGCTAAATTGTGCTTTCTTACTAAAAAAAAAAAAAAACAAAAAAAAAAAAACCCACACGGATTATCAGATCTTCTTCCTTTTTTTTTTTTTTTTTTTCTGGTTTGGAAAGTTGGCGCTGTGATGGAACTCATGGCTTTAACACACGGTCTTCATTTAACTTTGTAGCCGGTACTGCTGCAGAGATGTGACTTGAGATCTTGGATCCGTGCCTTTTTTGGCCGTTTTGCCTTTCCTACTGTATGCAGTACTTTGTTTGACACTGGATGAGATCATTTGACCGGGTAAAAAACTTGCTGTGGCACACCAAAAGCATTGCTGTAGCCCAGCTCCGAATAGATATTAGCTCAGCCATACAGCAGTGTTTGTTTTAGTGGAAGGGTTCTTTTCCTGCTTTGAGTTCTTTTGATTTAAATGCGTAAACAGGCTATTATATTATTTCAGAATTCCTGTGGGTAAACTTTGCTGTCACCGATCAGCATATAAACTGAATTGCAGCATAATAAAAGCCACCTGGAGCATATGTGGAGTTTTTGCTAGCATTATAGTATTGGGAGAACATTATAGAAAGGATATATTTTTAATCACCAGAAAAGAAATGTCAGTACAGAATGTGGGTTTTAACCCCCCCCCCCCCCCCCCCCTACAATTAATTGTAGTAAAGAATAGTCAAATGTTTAATGAGATATTCAACCACCTAGAGATTTAACATTAAAAGCATATCACACAGAGAACTGAAAATTCAGCAGTTGGGTGGGCGATTTATTTATATATAATATATACTTTTTTTTTTTTTTTAACATTTTAAATCTCCCTTTATATATTTTCCCTTTATCCCCTGCATGTCAAGACTCTGAGGGCATGCATTATGGGCACATTATGGCTTTGTTGCATTTTCTACCGTATTAACAATCTAAGGGTCACCAATTGTGTATTGATATGATTATTGAATGCAATTAATCTGATCAAATTGAAAAAAAGACCCCTACAAACTAAGTACTCAATTTAGAGTGCTCTTGATAAATGGCGACTACTGCAATGATCATCCATGTGTACTAGAGAACCATTGACAATATTTTATTCAATTTTGTATATCTAAGAGCAGCCTTGATGGATCACAAATTGCTACATGTAAGGCCACCCTATAGCTACCACTACACATGAAATCAGACTCCAATGTAAAGTTATTAATTAAAAAAAAATTTAAATAAAATTGAGAATAGAACATTTGTATAAGACTACGTGAATGGCTGTGTGTTGTTTTTTGTTTTTTTTGTTTTGGTTACCAAACCTTAACAGAAAGTGATCAGTTGTAATGGAACTTTGGTCTGTTTTTGTTGCACTTATGTTATGGAATGGCTGTAGATCATGCCAACTGTACAAGCAGTGCTTGTACTGTGCATTGTGTTCAGTACCCTGCATCCACCTTAAGGATGTGCTTGTCAGGGGTCAGCCCTAGCTGCCAGGCACTTTTTTTTTTTGTTTTTTTTTTCCCCAGGCCATGAATACAGCGTAACATGGAAGGGAAGTAAAAATCTGCCTCATTACTCATAAACCAAGCTTCTTCATCATTCTTTTCATAATTAGTCGGAGGATGGGGAAGTGACCAAGCTAGCTGTTTTACTAATCTGTGATACATAACCCAGCCTTTCTTTGCTGTATGAAGGGATGTATAAACCAATGTATAAATGAGTCAGGGCCCTCTCATTGCAGTGTCCAGTCTGTGGCAACCAGCAGGCCATAGTTTGGTATTCACTGCTTGTTCTCAATGCTGGCATTTGCACTTTTCCCTAGATGCCAAGACTGTTTTATTCGAGTTTAAATTCATAGTTTATATACAAATTTTTATTTCACATTCTTTCACATTTATGTTTTTAATAATAATAACTTGTGTTTGTCTTTTTCTTTACAGAGAATGCTGATGGTAAATTCATTTCACCATTTCATGATATCCCACTATATGCAGGAACTGAAGAGGTATGTACTTAAACTTCCTTTTTTTTTTTCCATGACCGCTCCAATATACAACATGTTTAGGTTGACAGCTGGGGACGTGTCTCATTATTTTAATGCCTTTAGCTAGATTGATGTGATTGTGCATTGCACTATATAGAACCAAAAATTCATGCAAAAATTTGATAGAAATATGAAAGGGTAAATGGCAACATGCAGAGGGTTAAATAAAGGATCTTCACTATAATGGTATTCTCAAAGTGGGGGACATGTGTCTTTCCTGTAGGGGGACCATTGAAGAGCTCTGGGTTTCTGAGCATGCCCACTTTGTCAGCTGTCAGTGACAATTGCCATAGGAAATATGGTGAAACATTTGAAGGAAAAAGCATTTTTATTGGAGGTTTGCATTGTTGGTGTTTTGAGTATGTGGAAGCATTTAGTCACTGTTCAGTTGTATACCACTGTCACAAATTTTGTAACGTCTAAGAACTACTACATCAGAAGGCTCCGTTTAGTAAACACATCTGTTGAAGCCACTGAAGGATGCCCTCTGTAGCTCTCCTGAACCTTGTAGTCTATCTGATTCCTTCCAGATGTATATTGGTGTGTAAAGGCCATTCAGGATCACCATGTTGCCTTTCTTGGTAATGTAAACTGGAACTGTCCTGGTCTCCCTTCATGCTCTGCTATCTAATGCAGGTTAATTTAAAGTCCAGCGTAACAAGTCAGTACTTACTGTAATGACATGCTTATTGATTGCTACCTATGTGCACTTTTTTTTGTTTAGAACAATGATGTGCCAGCAAAGAAATTAAAATCTAACTGGGATAAGGTAAGACTATGTGAATATTATGTCTAAATTAAGGATGCACCGACATTTCGGCCACCGAAACATATTGGCCGAAAAGTGCCCTACCGATACAGGGGACTGTGTGTACTGCAGAGGGGGGGGGGGGAGAAAAGGTAAGGGAGGAGCAGTGCAGCAGAGGAGATTAAGCAAGCATTCCACTCTGAATCCGGTTTATTCCTGGCAACACACACTTCACCAGTAAAAGCTTTTATGACTGTTAAGCCCTACAAGCTACAAGTCCATCGAATCTGGTGAGTGTGGATTGTACTGGAAGGTGATCACAGAGTATGGTGTGGGGATATCCTTTAAATTACACATTTCGTTTTGGCACCATTTTTATTTCGGCGCACTTAATCACCGTTTATTTGGGACAGTGGACTTATTATTTCACCACTATTGATTTTTGCGCTGTAGATTATTTATGTTAAATAGGTCTTTTTACCTTGTGAGCAGCAGCATTCATTATTTGAGTTTATTTTTCACATAAACGCGGGTTATTTATTTCTCTCTTTTTTTTTTTTTTTTTTTTTTTTTTTCCTCTTCACTATAGCTCAGAGAATGAGCGGTTGCTCTCCCTGGCCCTAAAGGAAACTAAGGGGCAGGGTCACTGGGTAATGTTACTGGGTGACACCGCCCCGCTTCTTTTAGCCCTCCGAGAATGACCGCTCCTCCTCTGAGCTATAGTGAAGGGGAAAAAAAGCTGGTAATTACGTTTAAAAAAAAAAAAAAATGGCATTGTTTTTAAATAGAATTTTTTTTTTTTTTTTTCACTATAGCTTAGAGAATAAGCTGTTGCTTTTCCCAGAGCTAAAAGAAACCAGTTTATTTTATAGTTTCTTTCCCCGAGCTAAAAGAGTGTCCTTTTTAGCTCTGGGGAAAGTAACCGCTCCATTATCTGAGCTATAGTGAAGAGAAAAGAAAGAAAAAAAAAAAGCAGCCAATTACATTTAAAAACCGACACTGATACATAGTGACAGCCAGTGAGGGAGCCTCTTTATACACTGCTCCCTCACTATATACACTGCCCCCTCCTTGCACAAACTGCCCTCCCACCCCCTACAAAGATGGCCTGTCACTCATATTCTATCACATAGGGGACTATTGGTCCGCTATGTGATAGCAATAAAATCCATAAGTTAAAATATACATAAAAGTAGAGACAAATTGGAGATTCCCCACATATACAGACATTTTTGGTTCGGTTTTTGGCCACATGCATTCTGAATTTTCGGTATCGGCAATAATGTGGTCTTTTTAAAGGTTAAATGTTTTCTGTCCTCCTGCATCTTACCATGCATACTGATTTAATATCCATTTCTTTATTCCAGGCTGTATTCAACATGGTAGTTGAAGTTCCACGATGGACAAATGCTAAAATGGAGGTAGTTGACACTTTCTATATACAGTAAATTACGTATATGTCAACTAATTCTAAACATAGGGGTTTTTTTTTTTTGTAGCACTAGGAATAACTACAGTTAATCACTTTTTATTATTTATTTTTTTATTTATTTTTTTTTCCTTTTTAGATTGCAACCAAAGAGTCCCTGAATCCAATTAAGCAAGATATAAAAAAAGGAAAACTTCGATACGTGTCAAATATCTTCCCTCACAAAGGATACATATGGAACTACGGGGCTCTTCCGCAGGTCTTAAATGCTGGACTTTCTTCTAACCCCCAACCCCCCCCCTCCCTTCCTTTTTTATTTATTTTTATTTTCTTTACCCCTGAGTGTACTGGTAAAGTAAATCTCCCAAAAGAGGCCTAGGTCTCTATATCCAGAAGGCTAGTAATCACTGTGTCCTGAATAGTGTGAAGCTGTCTGCAGTATCAGTCAGTTTCTGTTCTCACACTGTCTGTCTGTTTCCTGGTTCCTTAGAAAGCTTTTTGCAAATGCTTCAGGCCTCTGCTCTGTGTTCTATCCTGTTCATACTCCCTTCGCCTTCTTCTGGTCACTTGTCATCAGGGGCGGACTGACCATTTGGAAACTTGGGCACTGCCCGGGGTCAGTAGGGGGCCCCATGAGATTCTCCTGGTACACTTTTTTTTTTTTTTTTTCATAGGCTTTTTTGAGTTTGGGCAAGGACACGGGCCCCATGATCCCTTATTGCCCGGGGGCCCCATGAATTGTCAGTCCGCCCCTCCTTGCCATATTGATCAGGAATTGGCTGTGCTCTTCTCTCCCCCACCCTTCACTGTGCCCCAGGTAAAAGGTAAAAAAGGTTTTTAGGTTTAGTATCACTTAATTTTTGTAGGTCAATTTGACCAGAAAACTTTAGTGTTCATATGAATTGAGCTAACATCTCAACAAAGTTATCTCCCTTTTTATAGCCATCTGTAACCTACAAAACTCCCCACATTCCCTTTATAAGGGAGATGAAGAAATTAGGCCAAGTTTGTAGTCCAAATTGGCCTACGGTGACAACATGCCTCCCTTAAGTGATACAGTGGAGGAGAGTGTTGCCACCCAAGGACAGAGTTGTATTTCACAGGTAAAATACAAAGGGTGGGGGAAGTGAATGTATAAGGGCTGGTAATCTATTTAAATTTTTTTTGTTTTAGGGTTCGATATGCTTTAAGCACCCTAACTGCACCAAAACCCCCTCCTGCTCTAGTGCTGGTCCTGTTTCTCGTCACCATTTTGATTACTACAAATTTCTTGCTGCATATATGAGACTGTATGATTCCTTGGCCTCCAGCAATGCAGTTTGTGCCTGAGTATGTCACAGAAAGGGGGGTGGCTGCACAAATAACAGAGGACAAGAATAATTGTATTTTTAATGCATCAATCGTTGCACTGATTGTGGTTGGGAGGGGCCGAGGTGGTAAGTATGGGCATGGGAGCGTGCTTTAAACTCCTTTTTTTTCTTTATGCCAACTCGGAAGAGCTGGACTACATTACATGACTGATAATGGGTTTGAGTTGTTTCTTCTGGTCACCTGCATTCATCCGTAATTGGTGTGTGACTTGTCCATCTTTGCCAATGTAACTTGCTGTTTTTTGCTTAACAGACTTGGGAGGATCCTAGTCACAAAGACAAGGATACAGACTGCTGTGGAGATAATGATCCTATAGATGTCTGTGAAATTGGCTCCAAGGTGTGCTTTTAAATTGTGTTACACAGCTTTTTAAATTAAATTGCATTATATAGTTTTAACTTGTTGTGGTATCCTAATGGGGGCAGGGGATATGCTGAAAATGTGGCACATCTCTACATGAATGATGGTTCTGATCACTGCTTGCAACAACCAATCTATGTAGGGGTTAACTAGACAATGATTATGTGTTTCTAAGTGGTGAAAGCACTAGCCATCAGATCCACTGTTTCCATAATGTTGCAAAATCTGAGAGTGAGGTGATCTATTATTTTATAGGAAAAGGGGCCAAATCTGTAAGTGCGTCAGCTGGATTATAGTGTTGGACAGGTCTTGTAAAAGTGGTAGATTTTCAGTCTTCATTTTTAAAGCTGAACTTCAAGTCAAATGACTAATTCCAATTACACGTGAATGGTTCACCTGAAAAATGGTTAGTTCTGTTCAGTTAGTCTTGTGAACAGGCACTCCTGACAACATAGCTTGGTTTGTGAACTTTTTACCTGGAATGTAGTTGGTGTGGAACTTCAGTCAAACATTTTACAATTGAGTGGGAAGGATTCCATCTTCTATAAGTATTCTACTGCTGCCATTTTGCCCTGGAAATTCCCATTATTATTAGATATTGCTGGAAGCTGAATGTCTGGCTTCTTCTCTTTTGGAGTTCTATGGAGGAGCTGTTGGACTCAGTGATGCTGTTGTTCAGACTCTGGGTCCCCATGAAGAATGAACTCTAGAGAGGGTAATGGAGAACAGAAATGTCAAAAACAGCAAAAAGAATAATTAACGAGCGCTTGGAGATGTATAACAAGCAGCTGGCATGAAAGGCACAAACCTCAAACCTTCACACTAAGATAACACATGCAGCGCTATAAATGGTTAATATAAAGTAACATATAAGGTAATACGTGATGGACTACTAGTGCTTAGTGGTGATTGATAAGTGTCCTCATAACATAATGCAATAGTCCCAATAAACTGTGCAAAACGTGGTTGACTCCGTGCTGAAAAGTGTCTAATATTATGCACTCACCAGAAAGCGCATAATATGCGCATTTGAGTTGTCAGACCACTCCTGGTCCCAGAAAGTTGAACCTGTATGGATCATCTGGCAAGCTGTCACTCTGATGAGAAAAAACTTTTCCTTGGCCAGCAGGGGGATTCCATCCAGAGACCCTTATAGGACTGATCCAGGTTCCTTAACCAGGGCACTCATATGAAGTATCCACCTTAAGAGAGGGGGGGCGGAAAGATGCCTGGGTACCTCTCTACTGAGACCTGAGGAACTCCTTCCCTGGTCTGAATGTTCTTGCCTCTTTGAAATAGCCACCTGGATCAAAAGGACTGCTGTATGTTCTTCTTGTTCTTTTGAGGCTTTCCCTCCTTATGGAGGGTGTCAATGATGGGTTTTCTGCACAACTGTCAGGTCAGCAGTCTTTCCAATGATTGTGATTGGAATCACAATCATTGGAAAGACTGCTGACCTGACAGTTGTGCAGAAAACCATCATTGACACCCTCCATAAGGAGGGAAAGCCTCAAAAGAACAAGAAGAACAACAGCAGTCCTTTTGATCCAGGTGGCTATTTCAAAGAGGCAAGAACATTCAGACCAGGGAAGGAGTTCCTCAGGTCTCAGTAGAGAGGTACCCAGGCATCTTTCCGCCCCCCCTCTCTTAAGGTGGATACTTCATATGAGTGCCCTGGTTAAGGAACCTGGATCAGTCCTATAAGGGTCTCTGGATGGAATCCCCCTGCTGGCCAAGGAAAAGTTTTTTTTCTCATCAGAGTGACAGCTTGCCAGATGATCCATACAGGTTCAACTTTCTGGGACCAGGAGTGGTCTGACAACTCAAATGCGCATATTATGCGCTTTCTGGTGAGTGCATAATATTAGACACTTTTCAGCACGGAGTCGACCACGTTTTGCACAGTTTATTGGGACTATTGCATTATGTTATGAGGACACTTATCAATCACCACTAAGCACTAGTAGTCCATCACGTATTACCTTATATGTTACTTTATATTAACCATTTATAGCACTGCATGTGTTGTTATCTGAGAACAGAAATGTGTTTGGGTGTGATAAAGCAAGAAGTGTTTAGAACAATCAAAGCCTAATGGAAGATTTAATAAAAAAAAAAAAAAAAAAAAACTTGGCTGAAAGTATACTTCAAGTGAAAAGCTTGGTCCCTATAGACAGGCAGTAGGGGAAAAAACTTCTTGTTTCTAGAACTAATCATAGTATATCAGTACCCTTCGATTCCTACATGTCTGTGATAGCGGCATATGCCTTGTACTTTAACCTTTTTGCTTTGCTCCATAAAGAGGACTGTGCCCAGCTCACAAATTCTCCCATTTCGATAACGCCTTAGGCCATCTCAAGCACTAATCATTATGCTCCGACAGAATAGAGGATTTTAAATCTCTATGGAATTGTGGTTTGGTAAAGTAGAAGGTACAGCAATGAAAGGAGAGCATGTTAAAGGCAGTGTGTAATTCTGTTACAATATAGAACTTTAGCCAGTAGCCTACACGGTACAATCCAATTCAAGGCAGCTCTAGAGGAGTCCTTCTGAGATATTCCAACAAGCTTTTAAAATAAATGACCATAGCACAGTACAAATTCAACCGATCAAGATGGGCTTCTTGGTAGTCAGCTGCTGCACCCAGGATTATTCAGACAGGTAAAATCAATCTAAAAGAAAAGGGCGCTTCTAAAGCTGGGTACACACTAAAGGAAAATTGGAAGAAACATTCTGTACGAGGAGCGATTGTTTGATCTAATTCGTATAGTGCTTTTTGACAGTCTTTCAAATTGTTTAGACCAAAAAAACCGAGGTGCAAACTCACGTTTTTATCATTCATGAACACAACGTTCGTGTTTTTGTTTTTTGTTTTTTTTTCCCCTCAATGTGTACAGTAATCGTATGGAAATATTAAAAAATGCTCATAATCAGAAGTGAACGACCCGGAAGAAGGTGGAAACTAACATAGAAATGCTACACAAAGAATGTTTGCCTGTGTTTGGAGAAGGTTGGTACCATTGTCAGTTGCCGTCATGGAAAATCGGACAGCCGCTCGTCCAATTTTTCTCAGTGTGTAGCCAAAGCAGAATGGCCCAGTCAAAGTCCAGACCTAAATCCAATTGAGAATCTGTGGCAAGACTTGAAAATTACTAGTCACAGACGCGCTCCATCCAATCGGACAGAGCTTGAGCTATTTTGCAAAGACAAATGGGCAGAAATTTCACCCTAGATGTGCAAAGCTGGTAGAGACATACCCAAAAAGGCTTGCAGCGAAAGGTGGTTCTACAGACTATTGACTCCAAGGGTCTGAATACAAATGCACCCCACCCTTTTCAGATATTTATTAGTAAAACATTTTGAATATCATTTTCCTTCCACTTCACAATTATGTGCCAATTTGTGTTGGTCTATCACCTAAAATCCCAATAAAATGCATATTACGTTTTTGGTTGTAACAAAATGTGGAACATTTCAAGGGGTATGAATACTTTTTCAAAGCACTGTACAAGTACTCAAGTACTCTCCTCACCAGATGTACAAGTACATCAGATGAGAATACATCTACTCTTTGTATATGGCTGCTCTTCCCCTGTCCTCCCCTAATTTTGAGACTTAGGTTGTTTTTTGTTTGTTGTGTGTGTGGTTTTTTTGTTTTGTTTTTTTTTTTTTTTTTTTGTTTTTTTCTTCCTCTTCATTTGGTTTGGAATTATTTAAGCACGTCCTAAACATGGTCTTGGTTTTTTCCTATAACTAGTAATTTGAGCTGTGAACTGGAACTTCTAATTGGGGGTATCACTTCTTAAATTCCACATCAGCGTTTACACTTCAGGAAAAAGATGCAGATGTTTGCTTTCTTGTGCTGGCAGTCTCCTGGGTGTTTTCATGAATGACATGCTTCATTGTATCGCTGAGTTTTTAATGAGCCACAGTTAATTGTCAATAATGAGGACTTATTGCAGTGATGTGACTATATGAGAGAAGCTTCTTCTTTTTTTTTTTTTTCTCTTTTTAGTCTGCGTGCTCCAGTAAAAGATACATTTTAAGATGAGTGTGTTCAAGTACTAAGAGTAGCAGTTTTAGTGGTATATGTTAATGTCTGCAGCTATTCTATACCTGCATGGGTGGCCTGTTTACATGAAATGCAGGCATTCTGCCTCAGCAGATGGATTACATCCAATGTCAGGGGGCTTTTTGTGAATATTATTGAGCATTTCAGGGCTGCATGGTCAAGTCCCCAACATTGTAATGGAGAAGAAAGGGGGACAACCTAGAAAGGAGAAACTGAGACTTAATTGTGCTGAATATTGTCATGCTTTAAAAACATGGTTAAATGTAGTCTTAAGTCACTGCAAAAAAATTGCAAATTTTTTTTTTTTATATACAATTTCAGGTGTGATTTCTGAAGCCTTTGCTACTTGTGAAGATTTCTTGCAAATTGCAGTGCAATTTCCATTATATTCTATGTATGTGAAATCGCAACAAAACTGCAGAAAAAGTAATGCAAGAACTACTTTAGAAATCGCACTGCAGCAAATCTCACATGTTGGGACACTGACATTCACATTAATTAGATGCGATTTCAGGTGCAATTTTTACAATTAGCAAATCGCACCAGTATGACCGGGCGCTAAGTCTACTCACTGCACACATATTCTGCAGCCCTTGTACCCAGAAATACTCCTTAACTACTGCGCCACAAGTGCAATTTATCAACTCCTATGAAATCTAAAGGATCATCTTAAAAAAAAATTAATATAAATAAAGATTTATTACCTCCCTCTTTTTTTTTTTTTTTCTTCAATTTTATTTATTTTTTATTGTAAAGGTTCAAATTATTTTCAAATAACAAACCTGCTTTGTGCAATGGTTTTGCACAGAGCAGCCCTGATCTCCCCCCCCCCCCCCCCCCCCCCCCCCCCCTCCTCCTGGCTCCAACCTCCTTCCCAAGTGCCCTCATAGCAAATCACCTGCTATATCAAGCCATGCCCTGTATCTATTGGCACAGAGCTTGGCTCAGCCCCGCTGTCTGCTCACTGGCTGTGATTGACGGCAGCAGAAGCAAATGGCTCCTCCTGCTGTCTCTGCACCTAATAAGAAGTGAGAGAACATAGAGAGCTGTTACTCTTATGCACAGCACTGGATCAAGATCAGGCTCAGGTAAGTGTTGGGTGGGGATGGGGGACTGCACACAAGATTTTTTTTTTTTTTTTTTTTTTTTTCTTTTTTTACCTTAATGCTGAGAATGCATTAAGGTAAAAAACACCTACAGCCTTTACAACCACTTTAATGGAGAACTGTAACAACCTAGTCAGAAACTACTTTGCAACCAGCAGTTGTTGAGACTAAACATTTTAATCTGGCGCAGGGGCGGACTGACCATTTGGAAACTCAGGCACTGCCCAAGGGCCTGGGGTCAGTAGGGGGCCCCATGAGATGCCCCTGGTACCTTTTTCATAGGCTTTTTTGAGTTTGGGCAAGGACACAGGGGCCCCATGATCCCCTATTGCCTGTGGGCCCCATGAGTTGTCAGTCCACCCCTGGTCAGGCGTATGTAATGTACAGTAGTAAGCACTTTATATACAACACAATGAGGGTAACTTATTAAAACTACAGTAGTCAGAAACTGACTGGTTGCCATGCACATCTATCTTTCATTTGCAAGCTGAAAATAGAAGCTGATTTGTTAGTGTACAGCTGCAGGGTGAAAAAATGCCCGGCTTTGATGATCAGTAGAGGAAAATGTCCAGTGTTTGGTAGTATGGGGAAAGACAAAATGCCCAATATTGGTGGTCAGAAGGAGAAAACAAATGGGCCAGCCCATGATCAGTGGGAGGAAGAAATGTTCCCCATTGTTGGCTAATGGGAATTGCTCAGTAGGCGAGGAGGGTCATTGTGCCCTGTGGGGGGGGGGTGCATAGTAATCTGTGGAGGAAGGGGAGGCATACGGATATAATATTAAAGCTTGGCACCCCCAGTGTTGTTAGAGCTGCACCCTTCCTCCCTACCTCAGGGTGCGCCACGCATGCCAATGAAGGGCTTTTGGGCCTGCGCGGCTTCACACTTTCATCAAAGCATGGCCCTTAAGGACCACCAAAATACTCAGTACTAATTAATTTGTAATCTGGCCTGAAAGTGCACTGCTTTTTTTTTTTTTTTTTTTTTCCCCTCGTTTGCACGTTCAGTTCACAGGAAGTGGCAAGGACACAGTTTCTGGCAAGATCAAAAAACTGTAATTCCCAAAAATGTTCTTAGCCTGAAATATACTACATTTTTGTCTTTGAGTTTAGATATTCTAAAACTGCTTCCCTGTGTCCTCTTTTCAACCTGTTTTTAATACATTTTCATTGCAGTTGTAGTAAAAATCCTGTGCTTTTTGGGAGGTTAGTGGCCACAATTGCACCTTCATTGTGATGTGTTGGCAGCTGCCATAGCTGTTGATTTAGCATCAATGACGGGACTCGCTGTAGTTTGGGGGCAGTTCAGGAGTAGCGCAGCCACTTGAGCCCAAAGCAGCTCGCAGGCTGTAGGTACAATGCAATTCTTAGATGGTGCTGCAGAGTGACAAAGCTGACACATTCCAAAACAAATTGGGTTGGGATGCTACATTGTAGTTATACACTGTAGCAGATTGCTTGGCAAATGGGTGACAAGGTTGTAGGGCTGCTCCAGGACTTTTTGATTGTCACAGTAAAGTATGCCAGAAGAGAAGTTCTCCTATCCTGTTATGTTTAGTATGATGCAGAGATGCTTGACAAAAGGATGGTTATAATTTGAAGATTTTAGGACGTTGATATGATTTAAAAGAAAAAGTATATAGATTATAATTTAAATTTTAGATTTGAGCATTTAAAGTTCATTGATGGAGTAACATTATGATAGTAGTTGAAAAGCCCTGACAGAGAACTTGCATGTTGTTCTTAAAATATTTATAAGGAAACATTAATATAAGCTGTTGTGGTGTTGCAGGTTTGCTCCAGGGGAGATGTAATTCAAGTGAAAGTATTGGGTGCTCTGGGACTCATAGATGAAGGCGAGATGGACTGGAAAATAATCGCAATCAATATTGATGATCCTGAAGCCGATAAGTTCAATGGTTGGTTGTTCTACTCTAACATAGATTGCAGAGATTACATGTAGCTGCTTTTTCAGATAGTTGTCTGGCTCCTTTTTAAATCCATAGTAACAGAAATCAGCCAAATGGCCCTGATTTACATAGGTGACACATACAGGTTAAAATGGCAATTATATGTTAATTTACCACATCTGTGGCTGTTTAAATTGCAATTAGTGTCTGTGTATAAATAGTCAATGAGCTTGTTGGCTCTCATGTGGATGCACTGAGCAGGTTAGATACTGAGCCAAGGGGAACAGAAAGAACGGTCAAAAGATCTGCGTAACAAGGTACTGGAACTTTATAAGGCCCCATTCACAACAAAGTGTTGTGTAGCGTGAAGCTCCAAAAGTCTCACTGAGAAAAAAAAAACAATATTACTCTATGGAGATGGTTCACATCTCCAATCCAAGTTGCCTGAAGCAGAATGCTTAAAGCTCAAACATTTTGGATCTACTCTTTATAGCTCCATTCGGGCAGATTTTGGTATTTTCCCATGGAAATGCACAAATTACAAGTTTTAATGTGCTTTTAGCGCACAACCAAGAGCGTTTTTCTGGCATGGCAAAACCTCACAACAATTGATGTGACAGATGAGAAATTTTCTCTATTGGCTAACAAACACCAGAACTCAAAAAGCCTGAACAAATTGCTCACAAATGTGAGACAAAATGCACAAAAACACTACACTCAGGTGTGAATGGAGCCTAAAGAAGGAAAGGACATAATATGCCCGACAATACCTTGACATGTCTCACAGCTTCTGGCACACTGTAATCTGGAGTGACGAGACCAAAATAGAACTTTGTGGTCAAAACTGTACATGGTGTGTTTGGAAAGGGGTCAATAAGGTCTATAGTGACAAGAATACCATCACTACTGTGAAGCATGGTAGTGGCTCACTGATGTTTTGGGGGGGGGTGTGAGCACTAAAGGCACTGGGAATCTTGTGAAAATTTCTGGGAGGATGAATGCAGCAGGTCATCAGAAAATATTGGCAGACAATTTGCATTCTTCTGGCCGAAAGCTGTGCATGGGACGCTCTCCAGCAGGATAAAGATCCTAAGCACAAGGCCAAGTTGACCCTCCCTCCAGTGATTACAGCAGAAAAAGCTGACGTTTCTGCAATGGTTGTCAGTCTCCTGACCTTAATATCAAGGCACTCTGGGGAGTTTCAAATGTGCAGTTCATGCAAGATGACCAAAGACTTTGCATGACCCAGAGGCATTTGTATCCATCTACAGAATTCGGGGCCTCCTAGACAACAATCAAAGACTTGAACACTGTTATTGTTATCAGTACATTGTATCAAGAACTAAGGCTGGCCATACATTTTACAATTTTTTTTTTTTTATTTTTTTTTTTTTCCCCTGTACAACTTTTCCTTTAGACTTGCAAAAACTATGTAATATGAGGTAATATGTTTTGGAGGGCATGCACTGACGATTTGGCAGCTTGTTCTTCTCTTTGACAGGAGTACCTGCAATGTTGCTCTTGTCAGAAGGAGCAGCAGCTGGCTTCTGCTGGAAAGAGGGTTCAGCTTTCTCCTCCCTCTGCCGGGGTGGTAGAGAGCCACCACTGAGACTGAGAACTCGTCAGTCTCAGTGCAGGAGAGAAAGGAGTAGCTGCTATAATTGCAGGTGTGAACAGCATTTGCGATCTAAGAGTATAAGGTGGAAGGGGGGCGGGGCACAGCTCTGATGTATTGGGACACTGATGGGGACTCCTGAAGTAAGGGAGCGCTGTGAGGTGGACACCTGATGCAGGCTGTTTGGGGCCCATGATGCTATTAAGATGACAATGCTCCTGTACTAGGGTGACAACACCGCTCCTCCATATTCAGCTTAGAACTCTGTGATCAAGCCCAGGTGAGTGCAGCAAAATGCGTTAGAGGGCATGGCCAGAGCGGCAGCTGAGGCCATCTCACCTACACTGAACTCCCGGGATTAGTCTGAACGGCATCCATTCATCCCACACAGTTTCTGGAACACTAGCGGATGCTGTTCCCTTTTTCCTCTGTTGGCGGGTGCTTTCTGGCTTGAAGCGGCGCCATATGTCTCCTACAAGCCATTTAACAATTGCTGGATATTCAGTTTCTCGGCTTTGCCAGACCTATGTATTTTTCTCCGCTAGTAGAAAAGCTTAATCTCCTCCAGTGCCACTGAGATATCAGTTGATATGCAGCTTCTGACTCCATGATCACTTTGATCACTTACACTTTGCATTTTCACTAGGAATCAATGCAAAAGGCATAAAACAGCAGCAGCACATAACAATGATTTATCTGAATTAAGTAAATTTGTTGACTACCAGTTTCAGCTACCATTTTTATGGACCAGGTTATGTAAATCTTTTGCTTTCATATGATCTATTATACACAAGGCAAACTCTGCTTCCTTTGAACAGGCTATTGAGTATTACTACTTGTGTTCCCTTGATCTTGTAACTCCTGTTGCGTCTCTATGCAAAGGGGGCTTCAAACTAAAATCTCACCCAACCTTCATGTAAATATCTGGGAATCCATGTGCGGTCTCCTTTTGGAGTCCTTGCCAGACATTACTCTTTGGCCTGTTAGGACTTTCCATCTCTGTGCTTTCCTTTTTTAAAAGCCCTAACATTGTTGGGTAGACTAAATTTGTTAAAGATGATTTTCTTGCCAAAGTTCCTCTATATTCTTTCCAAAGCCCCAATATACACTGCTCAAAAAAAATTAAAGGAACACTTTGAAAACTTGTCATATTTCAATGGGGAAAAATATCATGTTAGATATCTATACTGATATGGACTGGGTAATGTGTTAGTAACGTAAGAATGCCCCATTGTTTGATGGAAATGAAAATTGTCAACCTACAGAGGACTGAATTAAAAAAAAAAAAAAAAAAACTCGAAGAGCAAAGTGAAAAAATGAAGCAGCAGGCTAGTCCATTTTGCTGAAATTTCATTATAGCAACTCAAAATGGTGCTCAGTAGTTTGTGTGGCCCACACATGCTTGTATGCATGTCTGACAACATTGGGGCATGCTGCTAATGAGATGACAGATGGTGTCCTTGGGTATTTCCTCCCAGATCTGGATCGGGGTATTTCCTCCCAGTTCTGGACCAGGGCATCACTGAGCTCCTTGACAGTCTGAGGTGCAACCTGGCAGCATTGGATGGACTGAAACATGATATCCCAGTATTCTATTGGATTTAGGTCAGGCGAGCATGGGGGCCATTTAATGGTATCAATTCCTTCATCCTCCAGGAACTGCCTGCATACTCTTGCCACATGAGGCTGGGCATTGTCTTGCACCAGGAGGAACCCAGGACCCATTGCAGCAGTGTAGGGTCTGACCATGGCTCCAAGGATTTCATCTTGATACCTAATGGCAGTCAGGGTGCAGGTCTGTGTGTCCCTCCATAAATATGCCTCCCCAGACCATCACTGACCCACCACCAAAATGGTCATGCTGAATGATGCTACAGGCAGCATAACATTCTCCAGACCCTTTCATGTCTTTCACTTGTGCTCAGGGTAAACCTGCTCTCATCTGTGAAAAGCACAGGGTGCCAGTAGTGGACCTGCCAATTCTGGTGTTCAGTGGCAAATGCCATTCGAGCTCTATGGTGCTGGGTAGTGAGCACAAGGCCCACTGGAGGACATCGGGCCCTCAGGCCACCCTCATGTAGTCTTTCTGATTGTTTGGTCAGAGACCTTCACACCAGTCGCCTGCTGGAGGTAATTTTTGTAGAACTCTTGGCAGTGATCATCCTGTTCCACTTTGCACAAAGGAGCAGATACTGGTCCTGCTGATAGATTAAGGACCTTCTTCGACCCTGTCCAGCTCTTCAGAGTAACTGCCTGTCTCCTGGAATTGCCTCCATCCTTTTGAGACTGTGCTGGGAGACAAAGCAAACCACCTGGCAATGGCACATATTGGTGTGCCATCCTGGAGGAGCTGGACTGCCTGTGCAACCTCTGTAGGGTCAAGGTATTGCCTCATGCTACCAATAGTGACACTGACCCTAGCCAAATGCAAAACTAGTGAAAAAACGGTCAGAAAAGATGAGTAGGGGAAAAAATTGTCAGGGGCCTCCACCTGTAAAACCATTCGTGTTTTGGGGATCATCTCATTGTTGCCCATCTAGTGCTCCTGTTAATCAGTTTCAGCTGCTTTTTGGTGTTAATGAATTTAACAACCCCCTCTGCTACTTAATCTTGATGGGATATTGATCTGGTCAGTTGACTTGATGCTATACTCTAAATTTAAAAAGTGTTCCTTTTTTAATTTATTTATTTTGAGCAGTGTATATACTTAGTCTTCCAGTATATTAACTCTTTGCTTAGTTCCTTTTTATGGTGGGGGACACAAAGTACCTGTAGTGTTTTGTAGAGGTGGTTCAGCACTACCTGATCTTTGTGCATATTACTTTTGCCTCGCAGTTGGTGTATGTGCATTGGTGAATGTTTCCTCCTTTTGAATAATGCTGCAACAGTAGAAGCGGTAGTCGCCACGTTCTATGAAACACTTAACTTTTATAGAGGTGAGGTTCCCTCTCCTGAAGGTATGAATATATTGTAGTTATCTGAGTGGATTGTTGCAATATTCTCCAAACAAATTTCAGATACGTCTTTATGCCTTTCACCAAATGCTCTTCTGTGGCAAAATTCTCTTGGGTGAATTTCTTAGGTTGGAGGAGGACTATAGATGGGCATATTATGGTATAAAATATGTGCATCATCTCTGAGGGAGAATTTTAAATCCTTTTTTGAGTGATTACAAGCTGAGTGAGGTGTACCCCGTTCCTGGTACTTTCGTTATGTCCAGCTCAAAGATCGTCCCATATGGTCTGCAAGGGGTGTCCTACTCTATTACTAAGTTGGAAACACTTTTGTTACAACCGGATTATAACAAACTAATCTCTAGCTACTACTCTGTGTAACTCTTACTGACCGTCAAATCTGACAAAATTTCTAGCCATCTATCTTGCGTCCAATGACC